CTCAGCGTCACTACAACTTCCTCTGCCGTCTCTCTGGTTTCTTCCTCTCCTCCCAGCGAGGTCCTCCCCCTGCAGCCGCCGGCCGTGTGCGGTGGCTCCCCCTGCCGGCCGGAGGCTGGCTCGGCCGCTCGGGAAGGAGAAAGGGAGGCGGGGCGGGGCGGGGGCGGGGTGCTCCTCGGTAAAACCACCTCCACTGCGTTGGGGTCCTTAATGATGGAGCTTGAAGGTATCCTTCCCTCCATAGCATAAATTCAATATGAATCATTTCAACTTATACTTTAGATGATATCCCAGATGTTCTGAGAGTGTGAAGGGGCTTAGTGACTAGCTTAAATGTAATTTGGTTGGGCTGTTTAGCTGCATAATTTCCAATGTCATTATCTGTAGATCTTTCTTTTAAGGCTGGTAAGGTTCAACTAGAGGTGGCCCTCCAATTTCCTACTTGGAGGGTGCAGATCTGGTTGTAAACATTCTGGGAGCTGAATGGAGGAAAAGGTTTCAGCATCTAATATACACTTTACTCAAAGCAGACACCTTAAAAAACCTGTTCTTTGCCAGGAAGGAGGAACCCAGGGCACTGGGGGCAAAAAGACAACCCTAGGCTTCCAGAGAGAAAAACTCATCACTTACAGGGGGTCAAGAACCAACATATCTTTCAATTTCTCAACAGTCACAAAGAAAACTAGGACACCTGGGAGCAAGTCCATCAAATTTCAAAAGGAAATTTATTTCAAACTGAAATTCTATACCTGGCTAGTAAACTACCAATCAAGTGTGGATAATGAATAAAGGTATATTCAGACATTCAAAAGCTCGAAAAATATCCCTTTAATTTACTTATCCCTTTTCAGGAGGCTACTGGAGTTGTGCTTCACTAGAATGAGGCCTGAACAAACAAAACGAACACATAGGATATAGGAAACAAGACACGACACAGAAGAAAGATACAGTGGGAAGCCCTGACAACAACTGTGCGCTCCGTGTAGATGGTGCAGGTCAGAAGGATCCCGAAAGGGGGAGGGTTAGCTCAAGTGCTAGAATGAGTGCTTAGCATGCACTGGGTCCTGGCTTCAATCTCCAGCACCTCCTCTAAAAATAAATAAGTAAATAAATAAAACTAATTAACCCCCCTCAAAAAAAACTTTAAAAAAATAAAAGAAGGCTCCAGAAGAGGCTCCTTCAGGAAGATAAAACTGATAGGACACCTCATCTGTCTGACTGTCTGTAGGGAGAGATTTAAACAGTAATTAAGAAATCTGCATATATTAGCATGGTCCCTGCGCAAGGATAGCATGCAAATTTGTAAAGCGTTCCATATTAAAAAAAAAAGTCTGTAGCACAGGGAACTATATTCAGTATCTTGTAGTAACCTATAATGAAAAAATATGAAAACAAGTATATGTATGACTGAAACATTAAGCCACACACCAGAAACTGACACAACGTTGTAAACAGACTATTCTTCAATTAAAAAAAAAACTCTTAAGAGCAAAAAAAAAAGTCTGGACTTGGCCTAGTGATGAATAGTGAAACAAAATAAGATTATTAACTACAGGAAAAACAAAAAGCTGTGGAAGAGAAGTAATCATAGTATATTACTTTGCCAAGAGATGAGTAATGTTTACCTAGTCATAACAAAGTAAACACAAATCTCTTTTAAAACATACAGGGTAACTATATTGGACAGATAAAGGGATGGGAAGTGTGGAGGGCGGGTAGAGGAAGGGCTGGGGAAAGTAAGAAGAGTTAAACCCTCATTTTCCATTAAGTGAAGTCAATAGATAATGCCTAAAAGTGACACATCAAGAAATAGCGATACAGTGGGGTGGGAAGGGATAGACTGGGATTTCAAAATGTAGAATAGATAAGATTATATTGTATAGCACAGGGAAATATATACAAGATCTTATGGTAGCTCACAGAGAAAGAAATGTGACAATGAATATATATATGTTCATGAATAACTGAAAAATTGTGCTCTACACTGGAATTTGACACATTGTAAAATGATAATAAATCAATAAAAAATGTTTTATAAAAAGAGGTAGCTATACAAACATTTTATATAGAAAAATTAAGGTAAACATCAAAATAACCAGTGGAAAGAGGTAAAATGGCTTTCTTTGAGGATGGGGAAACAGGGATGGGGAGAGGTGGGGATACACTCTCTGTTGTTTCATTGCAAAACTTACAAGATTTTACAGAATCATCTGACTCTAAGTCACAGATGCATATAACTGATAAAAATAAAAAATAAAATTGAGAAAAAGGATTGCTCTAAACCCAAATTTTGCCTCTGAACAATTCACTTTCTGGTGAAGGAAATAGACATGAAGATAAATAATTTAAGATTGAGTGCAATAAGTGTAACAACGGAAATGTTTGCAATGACTGAGGGAGCACAGAAAACAAGTACTATTTGGGGAGTGGACAGGCATGTAGGATGGACAGAATACTAGACAATAATAAGGATGAAACAAGAGAGAAATTGTGTGTGCTAGGCACTGAGCAATCCATAGTGCTGGAATGGAGTTAAAAGCAGGATCCTGAATATTATGCAGAATATACATGTTAGGATATAATTTTAAAGTCAAGGAGAACATTAAACTGTTTAATGTTTACTAGAGGGAGCTGGAGTAGGGAAGACGTTTTGAACAATCCTGTGTTATTTTAACTATAAAAGCCGATGAGGAGCTGCTTTTGTGGAAAACAAAAAAACTAAGGCAGTTTAGGCTGAAATGCAAAAAGGGTAAGTTTTTTTTAATTGAAGTATAGTGGATATACAATATTGTGTTAATTTCTGGTGTACAACATAGTGATTCACTTATACATATATATTTATGTTACTTTTCATATTCTTTTTCATCTTAGGCCCCTTACAAGGTATTGAATATAGTTCCCTGTGCTATATAGTAGGGCTTTTGTTGTTTATCTGTTTTATACATAGTAGTTAGTATCTGCAAATCCTGAATTCCTAATTTATCCCTCCCCCCAAAAAACATTTTGACCATGGAACCAGTTAACGTCCACGCAATGTGAACATTCTTTCCTCCATACACGTCTATCTGGAGTTGGGCCGCAATCTCAGAAAAGATGCTGTTTAAGTACAATTGACCCTTGAAGAACACAAGTTTGAGCTGCACAGGTCCCCTTTACAGATTTTTTCAATAAATACTTACTATAGTACTACACCATCTGTGGTTAGTTGAATCCGTGGATGTGGAAATGCAGATAGATACAGAAGGCTGATTATAAAGTTATACATGGATTTTCAACTGGACAGAAGGTTGGCACTCCAACCCCTACATTGTTCAAGGGTCAACTGTGTACAAAAATTTAAAGTTTAAGTTGAATTTTTACTGCGTGGCTGTGGTAAGAATATGTGCAGTTGTTCTCATGAGGATACTAACTTACGAATTAACCATAGTCCAAGGACATGTGATTATACATGTATTAGCAACAGGAAACTGCCCGAGGTACTTAGCTGAGGTGAATAATCTCAGAGGAAGGCAGCGTAGACCCTACCAGTCTGAGCAAATTACCTATACTCAGTTAACCAGATCCCCACATGTAAACCCAAATTTTAAAAACAAGTCTACCACTGCTATGGAAAATGGTATGGGGGTTGCTCAAAAAAATTAAAATTTATTATATGATGCAGCAACTCCATTCTAGGTATATACCCCTCAAAATTGAAAGCAAGATCTTAAAGAGATATTAGTACATCCATGTTCATAGCAGCATTATTCACAATAGCCAAAATTTGGAAGCAACCCAAGTGATAATGGATAAATAAAATGTGTGTATACATGTAATAGAATATTATTCAGCCCTAAAAAAGAAGGAAATTCTGACAATGCTACAACATGAATGAATCTTAAGAACATCGTGCTAAGAGGATTAAGCCAGTCACAAAGGAATGTATACTGTACAATTCCAGTTATATATGTCACCCGGAATTATAAAATTCATAGGTACAAAAACTAGAATGGTGGTGCCCAAAGGCTAGGAGGAGGGGAGAATGGGGAGTTGTTTAATGGGTAGAGAGTTTCAGTGTTGCAAGATGGAAAGAGTCCTAGAGATGGCTGATAGTAATAGTTGCACAACAGTGTGAATATACTTAATGCCACTGAATTGTACACTAAAAAATGGTTAAAATGGAAAATTTTATATTTGTATTTTTCCACAATTAAAAAAAGTCTAGCAGAAATATAAGGACCTATAATAACCTACTGTTTTTTCACTAAGGATTGAAATTTGGCTAAATATTAAATGTGCAAGAGCTTTTAGAGGCCAAGATTTAGTTGGGAAATGTGTGCTACTTGAAGAGCATGGGATGAGTAATGAATTTTATTTTTCCTCACACAGAAGCACAAACTTGCTATGAATAGGTTTCTTTAAGCAGGTCTCAGTAGGGAGCCCTGAAGAGGAGGGGTAAATTGAAGAAATGAGAAAAAAGGTGCTCTTGGATCCGATGCATTCGAAGCAATTATATATAGAACAATATAGTCCCTTAAGTGATTCTCTGTTCATTACTAAATTCGTGGTGGAGGGCAACAAAAGAGTCATAAGTATGTGGAAGAAACCATTATTAGAATACAAGTTACATTCGTTAAGGCAATCGCCGCTTTAAAGTCTTAAGACTGTCTAAAGGACTCTGGTGCCTGAATAAACTACTTTTTGTCCCCGCCAAAGCCCGAGTGCAACCGCCTGACAGCAACCGGAGTGAATGGACCACCGAGAGCTCCAGCCCGGCAGGTGGCAAGGCCAAACGATGCAAGCACCAAGCGCCTGACAGCAACCGGAGTGAATGGACCACCGAGAGCTCCAGCCCGGTAGGTGGCAAGGCCAAACGATGCAAGCACCAAGCCTCGCGGGGTCTACTGAGCAGGGGTGGAGGGGGAGTGGGCGGGACTTCTCCTACACCGGGAAGGTGGTCGGGGGCCAGAGGGGGCGTGTTCGGCGGCGTGTTCGGCGGCGTGTTCGGCGGCTAGGGGCAGGCTCCGCCCCGAAGGCGGTGCCAGTCGGCAGCGGCGCGACGCTGCGCAGCACGTGTACGAGCCCGGTCGCTGTGAGTCTGCTCTGGGGCTGCCGGGCCCGGGAACAGAACGCGCTGCCTATGCCAGGCCGCTCTCGCAGCTGGCTCTTCCGAGTGACCCTCGCCGCCACCGCCCTCCTGCGCCCCGAGCAGCGCGCCCGTCTCCTCGCCTCCCGGCCCGCGCCGCGCCTGCGCTCTCAGGCCCCGGGTAAGTGCGTGGCCTTCCCTCAGCTGCCTGGGCTCCGCTGCCAGCCCTCAGCCCGGCGCCCCGGCCCCCAAGACCCCGGCGGGAGGGGCAGCGTGGACTAGAAAGGCGTCCCGGCCTTGGTCTGAGCCCTCGGCCCGCCCACGGCGCCTCCATTACTGCTCGTGCCCGCGGGAGCGCGGCTGGAGCCCGGCGGGTCCGGCGCTTCGGCGGTGCCAGCCCCGCCCCCCGCTCTCCGGGCGGGTCCTCGCGGGCGCCGCGCCCTCCCTCCTCCCCGCGGCGCTATCAGCCCGCGGATCCCAGTCCCACTCCTCCCTTTCTTTGCCCCTGAGGCTCCCTAAGCTCTTCCTCCCGGAAGAATAAAACCAGCCTTTATCCCTAAAGCCCTTTACAGCCCCAATACATCTCCGGGCCAGCCTTCTACCAGGTCCAGCTCACGTGCTTTCGTCTTATTTATCACTACTAGCAGCGAGCCTACTGTGTGCCAGGCATGCACTCTGGTAACTGCTTGTTCTGTGTACGTTGTCCCCAGTGTAGGAGCAAACCGGAGTTTTTCTCCGGTCTTCTGCTTGGTCACCGTTTAATGAGTGGATGCAGTAGATGCTGTTCGGCGTGTTGAAACTCATCCGCATGGAGTCTTTACCACCAGCCCTGCACCGAGAGGTTTAAAAGTACATTTTCATTGCCAGGGTATTAGTGCCTGCCAAGATATAGGGTTTGGTGTGAGTTTAGTCTTTCAGATATTTGGTTCTGTTGTCAGACTACGTTCCCCCTACTCTTTCCAAAAATATAGAATTACTAAGGACTTTGGTCCCTAGTCTCTAACCATCTGTGAAACGGGCATGCACCATCGCCTGGGGATGTCTTGGTAATTGAGGAATCTGTCAAAAATCAGACTATACACGTACTGAAAAGGGAATGGATAGGCAATGATTATGTTCAATCATTAGGCAAAGTAGCCAACGTATATATTAACACTCCTTTGGAACATATCTTGATAGAAGCTGGTGCAGTAGAGCTATTGATAAAAAATGGCCTTTGCCCCCAAATAAGAGAGAGAAATGACAGTCCAGCTGGTCTGTTGACTAAGTTTGCTCCTGCCTCAGGTCCTTTACCGACGCTGTTCCCACTGCCTGGAACACGCATCTTTTCTAGTTTAGTTCTTCCTTCGAGTCTTTGCTAACAAGGCACCTCCTTAAGAGAGACTTCACTAAAGAGCACCCCTCTTTCTCACTGTCCTTACTCTTGTTGATTTGTGGCTCGTATGCTTGCGTATTCTGGGATTTTTTTTTTATTTTATTCTCTGATATGTAAGCTCAATGGGAGCCGGAAGTTCCCCTCTTTTCCCCAGTGCCTGGAACAGTGTCAGACTCATAAAAGGTGCTCAATAAATATTTGTGGAATGAACGAATCTAACGGACTTAATGACTTTGCATATTAGAGTGTAGTGTGTGCTCTACCCTGAAAATAGTGCTCTTTATTGTGAGAGCTGGAGGAATTATTGACAGTTTGCAGAGGATGGAGGGTAGATACATTTAAAAAGTGGAAGTTGTGGAGGGTTTTGAAATAGATACGATTAAGACTAATACGGCTTTTTTTTAGTGATTTATTTTACAGGAAATAACGTTAAGGGACTGTCGATGTATTAAAATTTTGAAAATGTTGAACGTTATTTTTGTTGTGGATTGTAGAGGAATCTTATTGGTGAATCTTATATATTAATGAAAGAGACTTTAAAATACTGTTGAAGTTGTAATATTTCTAATCCCATTTGGCTGCTTCAGAGTGTAAAAGAAACAAAAAAAATCACTTTAGTATTCTCTCCAAAGAACTGTGTAGGACGTTAATGTAAGTTCATGGATAAGTAACAGTAGATTTCATTTTATCCCCAGTTGTAGCATCAAGCTTCTGGTCTATAAAGATTATGCTTGACGTTTGAGATGCTGTCATTACTGTCGTGGGTAGTCTATTTGTGCAGCATCACGTTTCTTAAACATTTTTAAAAAATTTAATACCATTAAAAAACCTCATAAAGCTGGCGCTTTACTCCCCACCCCCCTTTTTTAAGCCAATCACTTTTTACAGCTTTGAGTTAGAAGGCTTGAATATGTAAATATGGATTTTTCTGAATGCAAAACTCACTTCCTTAGGGAAATCAAATTGGGGCAGTCAGGGTTGTTTTATGTTTCTGGTTGAATTCTTAGCCTCTTCAATGTTCACATGATCCTCTCTCATTTAAAAATTACATTGCATTTCAATCTTCTATTTTACATAGTTCCTGCTTAAGAATGTGACACTGATTTAACTTCTGCCTCTCCTATTCCGGAAGTTTTCACAGCTGTTCTCCTAAATATGTTCTCAGCTTCTAAGCGCACAGACAGAACTTAGCAAAATATATATTAAATGATTTATAATCACTTGTGCTGTATATACTTTAATAATTAATGTCTGTGATAGGCCATTGGCTAAAACAAATGGAAAGTATAATTTTGTTTACTGAGCTTGTCTTTGCAATTGAATGCAATAAGAAAAAGAGATCAGACAAGTATCCACAAGTATCAAGAAAAAGACTGCCAAAAAATACTAAAGGCCTGTTTATTTGGTGCTCTTGGCAGTGCTTTCAGGGTCTCTTAAAATTAAATGGTATTTGAAGGAGAAGCAATGTTTCATCATTAGCCCAGAGAACAAAAGAAGCATAAGAAGCTTTGTTTTTTCCCAGACTCAGCAGTACAGTTCTGCGGTGGAAACCATCCATAATAAATATTAATGACCAACAGTTGAATAGGAACAGCTAGTACAGACCTTTGACCAAGTCATCATTTTTCAGCTTTACAGAGAAAGGAACTTAGACCTGAGAGGTTAAGTGACCACTTGATTAACAACAAAACCTAGATCAGGCTCCAAGTCACAACCCCAAACTGCTGCTTACCAAGCAAGAGTTGAAACTGGTAGTTGATAACTTCAGATCCACGACCTGCTAATATTCTCATTCCAAGGGATGTTAGGTGTTACCGTGCTGACCTAAACCTTTTAGAACTTTATTCACATAGAGGAGAGTGAGGAGTTGGGGTGATGCCCGTATTCTGACTTAGGTGACTGGAAGTTTGGTGGTAACATTCCCTGAGGTAAGAGGTGCAATTTAAAAGAGGCGCATTTGTGGTGGGAGATGATGAGATCAATTTAGAGCATGATTTCACAGATTTTTTCTTTTAGTGGAGGTACCGGGGATTGAACCCAGGACCTCTTGCATGCTAAGCACCCACTCTACCAGTGAGTTATACCCACCCCCTAAGTCATGTTGAATTTGAGTGATCAATTCTACCTCTTACTAGCTGTGGAGTTTGTGCAAGATGCTCCCTGGGCTTCAGTTTTTTATTGGCTAAGATGGGAATAATAATGATGCGTATGTTATAGAGCTGGAGCGAGGCTTGAATGAGCTCACTGTACACACTCTATAATTGTCTAGCTGTCATTACAATTGCCTTGTACTCCTCAGTAAACCAGGGAGTTGGACATGGGTCTCGGCTCTAAAACAGGGGAATTAAGAAAGGAACCGGACTGTGGAAGGACCCTGGGGAAGCACAAATTTAAACAACAGGTCAAGCAGAAGGGGAAAGATCACCTGGAGAGGCAGGAGAAAAGCAAGTAGTAGCAGCCAGATCTTCCACCAGAATGTAAGCTCCACATGTGCAGAGTGTTTATTTGATTTGCTGGGGTGTCATGTCACAGTATCTGGACTAACGCCTGGCACAGTGGTGCACAGGAATGTTTGTTGAGAGAATGGAGTGCAGGGACGAGAAATGAGTGAGTGTTAAAATGAATCTGGACTTCCCTTCAGAGAACTGTTGTGTTAAGAGGAATGATTTATATAATAAGTGGTCCTGTGAAATGTGCTGGGAGGCGGTATGTCTACACGAGGATCCCTGTTTTCTTTGTGAATGGCACACAGGACTTGGAGAAGACCATGCTGACCAGGGATGGCCAGGCAGCGTGGAGGGCTGTCATGAAAGGAAATCCCCTGACCTGGTGATGTCTTCTTCAGCAGCAGCCAGCAACACAACTGGAGACAGGAGGATTGGTACTTAGTTGAGGTTTAGCAAGGATCGTGCAGCAGAAGGACTAATGAGCAAGAGTGTTTAGTGTTGGTTGAGAGTTGTTGAGGTTTGGGGCACTTGAAGAAGTGAAGATGGAGGAGGGGATATCTTGAGACTGGAGGTGTGTTTGAAGAACAGGTGATGGGAGAGAGGGAGCAGAACTGGAAAGATTGGTGGTTCAATGAGAGTAGAATAATTAGTGTTTCTTTTTATATTTTGAACTTTTATTTTTAATGTAAAAAAATTCAAACATGCCAAGTAGAGAGAATGATGTGATGGAATCCCCATGTTCCTATCACCTGTTTCAACAGTTAATCAACTCATGGCCAAACTTGTTCCAAATCTATACCCACTTCCATTCATCACTGGTAAATTATTTTGAGGCAAATTCCAGACTTTGTATCTTTTCAGCCATAAAGATTTCAGTCTGTATCTCTAAAACATAAAGATGCTATTTAAAAATGTAACCACAGTGATATCGCCCTTTAAAAAGTTGACAGTACTACCTTAATGTCATCAAATATCCCCAGTGTTTCAATATCCCTGATTGTCTCATAAGTGCTTTTTCAAGTAAATTATCACTTTCTCCCCCCACCCCCTTTTATGAGGAGGAAGTAATTAGGTTTGTTGGTTGATTGGTTGATTTATTTTAATGGAGGTACTGGGGATTGAACCCAGGACCTGGTACATGCTAAGCATGCACTCCAGCACTGAACTATACCCTCCCCAGATAAATGCTTTTTTAATACTTGATTTAAATCATGGTTTAAATCAGGATCCAAAAAAGGATCCAGCCATTGCATTTCTTTGTAGGTTTATCTGTACGTTCCCCTTTTCTCTTGCTGTTTATTAGATGAAGGACTGTCTTTGCTGAGTTTTCCACGTTCAGAATTTTGCTGATTGCTTCCCCATGGTGATGTTTAATATCTTCTTCTGTCCCTTTATGTCATCTAAACTAGTAGTTGGACATACAGTTTCAATCAGTAAGAGTACTTCAAAAATAATAGCCTGTCCTTTCAGAGGCCTGCAGTGTCTGGTTGTTTTTTGTGTGTGTGATGTTAGTGGCCATTGAAGTCATTGGCCGGATCCATTATGTCATTAGGAAATCGCTCCTTCATGTGTCTTGATCTCTGTAGATGGGGAACAGTCAGCACCTGTTTCAAGAATTCTATAAAATACCTATTGAGGCCTGTCATACCTCTCTGGATTCTCTGGCATGTACAAAGAATCAGTAGCCTCAAAGAATCTTTAGACCTCTTGAGGGTGAACAAGGGACTGACATTTGTTTAGTTCCTACTGTAGCTAGCCACTCTGTGTTCATTGTCTCATGTGACCTTCATGCGATCCCTGTGAAGCACATATCATTCCCGTTCTACAGCTGAAGAACAGGGGCTTAGAGAAGTTAATTTACTCGGACCAGTTACAGCCAGGATGTGGTGGAGAAAGTGCAAGTCTCGGGTGCCCACATGGGTAGTGCAGAAGAAGGGAGGTAACGTGGGAAGACATGCATTTAACAAAGTTATAGAGAAGTCAGGGCTGGTGGCCTTCAGATGAGTCTAAAAGGACAGGTGAGACCGGGATGTTCTGAGACAGGTGTGGAATTGGGAATGGGCACCTGTGGGGGCTGGACCTAATTTGCTGGAGGAATATAATGGTCCGTGGCACTGGGTGACTGATGGTGCTGAAGCAGAAGGATGGAGCAGAGGAAGTAATTGGTGTTTCCATCAAGGTTCATGGCCATCGGGTTGTTGAAAAAGAGCCTCCTGAGTTCTCTCATACTGGAAGGCGGTGGATGTCCTGCAGACCATAGAGTCCTGAGCCAAGCTGCGGATGTGGCTGTGACTGGCTGGGAGCTCAGGCTTCTGGAAGGGTCTTAGGATCCCCAGTAGATCCCGTCATGCCAGCTGAGAACCTTGTGTTTGTTTTTAGGAAAAGTCTGTGTCTTTATTGGCCAGCAGGCTACTTGAGGGGGATGAAGCGTCAGGAGTGGGTGGCTCGAATGCAGGGCTGGCTGTGCTTTGCAGGCTGTGTAGGTGATTGAGAACTCGCCTTGGTAGTGGCCGATCATCTCAGGCTTGATTTCCACCTGGCTGAAGGTCTTGCAGTTGTAGGCACCCACCGTCTCTGGCAGGATGATTGTGGTGCGCAGGTGCGTCTTCACCACCTGGGGCTTCTCGGTGGGCGGCGCCTCCTTCTCCGCCTGCGCAGGCGGTTCGGCCGGAGCGCTTCTCCGCTGTGTCAGCTGCGCACCGGCATGGCCTGCGGCTGGTCCAGGTCACGCCGCGCTTGAGGTGTTGCGGAGCCATTGCGGGTTTAGGGGTAAGAATATGTGCGACACAGTGTACTAACTGGCTCTGGGCTGTCCCCCAGGTACCTGCAATACCGCAGGACTGTAAGTGAGCTTGTCTTCTCCCGCACCCGCTCCTCTTCCTGGGTCCTCGTGTCAGGAAGAGCCTTTCAGGTCCCCAAGACAGAACACCTAAGTCATCCTGTAGTATCTTCTCTTTCCCCCCCACATTTATCACCCAGTTCTGTCCGCACCACCTCCTAAATGTCCCTGAATCCACCCCTCATTTTTGTCACCCGTGCCTCAGCCTTGGATCAACTTGTACTAACTTATTGTCTCAGTTGCTGGCTTATGTATTCTCCCAGCCGAACCCCGGTGTTTCTCTTCAGAGGGGTGCCAGGAAATCTAACTGATGAACCTGGTGGTGATTTGGTTTTCAGGATGTAATTTCCTCTTCTCTGTCTGGCGTGGCTTCCGCCCAGTCCCCGCCTTAACTCCAGACTCTCACCTTGTGTGTTTTACCCTCTCTGACCCCGGATGAGCTCAGTGGGGTTCTTGCAGCGTTCCACGCTCTCCCATGCCTCTTCAAGTGCTGTACCGCCTTCCTGCCCCTTTTCTACCGCCCTACTCTTATTCCTTCCCAAGCCAATGCTTGGCTCAGCTGTTCATTGCTCATCTTCCATTAGGAAGGGTGTCTTCTCCAATATCCTCTCACCAACGCCCCCTGAGGTCTTCTGTGTCTTACCGTGTGCTTGAGTGAGCCCTGGGCCCTCACTGGTGTGCAAGCTCTGTGAGAGGAACTTTGTCGATATATAGTGAGAATTAAGTGGCATCAGCATCTCATAAACTAGCATTCTCTTTTACTATACCTTGCTTAGAGTGAATAGAGAATAAATACTTTCTTACTTGAGTGAGAGATAATTTTGTATAACTAGTTGTGGGTCTACTTCTGTTCCCCGTTTCTTAATTTCTTCCATTTTCTTTAATTTTTTGTCTTTCAAGGGAAATTGTTTTTTCTCACATTTCTCCCTTTTTTTGTAGCCATCAAGATCATTTTTTCTTTCACTTTTTGCTTATATTTGTCTTTTTCTTTACTTTTCTTTCCATTCTTGATTTTTGACAATGAGGCAGGGTCAAATATGGATTCTTAAAATTTAGTTCATCATTATTATTCTGCTGTAGATGTTACTGTAAGTGGGCTCCTGGCTAACTAAGCCTTGGAGAACTAGAATATTTTGCTTATTTATGTTCTTTATGTTTACTAAGCTTGTGTGTTAATTTTAGTATCTCCCTATATAATTAATATGGGAAAAAGCTTTATCCTTATCTCACTGAGAGTCAAATAAGATCAATTTGGACAGACGCTTGTGGTCTTAGATACTATGAATTTTGAGGGGTCAGGGAGAAGGTATATGGTCTTCGATAAATGTGTTTATTTTGATTACCACATGTTACTCCTCTCTCACGCTGCTCTGTACTGGAAAGTACGTATGGCTTCCTAAACTTTTGCTCCGTACACTGTGTACAGGCCAGTTAAATGGTAAGCTGTGTTTTTTAAATGGTGGCAAAGTATACATACCATCATTCTAACCATTTCTAAGTGTACAGTTCAGTAGTTTTAAGTACATTCACATTGTGCAACCAACATGCAGAACTCTCTTTCATCCTGCAAAAGTGAAACTCTGTACCTGTTAAAGAACTTCCCATTCCTCTTGCTTTAAAAAAAAAGGGCATGGTGAGAGTATGTTTTAACATCAGTAAATGTATTCATACAGTTTTTAATTAATCAGCTTTTTGAAAGTATAACATACATGAAACAAAAATCAGATGATACAAGTGTGGTATTCAGCAAAAACAGCAAGTCTTTCTGCTGTCCCTGGCCACCTATACCTTCTCCTAGAAGTAACTACCTTTCCCAGTTTCCTTTCACATTATTTCTACATGTTGTTCAGTTTATGTACTCAGATGTCATTGTTCTTAATTTTTTGCTAAGATAAAAGCACTGAAATGAGTGTCTTTACAGCTAAAACCTTAAGCACTTTAATTATTTTCTTAGGATACTTCCTGAAAATTGTATTACTGAGTCAAAAGGCATCCATATTCTTAAGGTTTTTGATGTCAAATTCCCTGCAGAAGTGTTGTCATTTTCCTGTGCCACCGAAGGTATATTTGGAAGAATTATTTTAATAAATGAGTTTTAGGACCCTAGGAACAAAATTAAGTGTACCTCTGTTTGCAGAAACCTATTTCTTTACAGAGGTGATTATTATTGCTTACTCTTTCTTCTTTCCTGAAAGGTTCTCTTAAATGTTTTCTTGGATCCTTGAAAATGGAGATGACAGGAATTACTGGCATGTCACTGAAACGGGGGTCCGTTGCTGTTGAAGATAATGACAGCGTGGCTCCCGCTGAGGAGGCAAAGAGACAGAAGGTCTCAGAATGCTGTCCACCCAACAGTCAAGATGGGCTGGACAACAACTGTCTACCCAGCAGTGGAAAGGTGCCAGGGCCACCTGGAGCTGCAGGTGCTGGAGAGGGCAGAAAGAGTTCTGACACTCAGTCAGAAGAAGAGGAAGAAGAGGAGGAAGATGGCCTTTCAGAGGAGGGTGAGGAGGAGGAGGAAGCTGAGAGCTTTGCAGACATGATGAAACACGGGCTCACGGAGCTGGATGTGGGTATCACCAAGTTTGTAAGTTCTCACCAAGGGTTCTCAGGAATCTTAAAAGAAAGGTACGTTCAGTGTATGAATTAAGTTATTTTAGTTATATTAGTTCTTTGCTTTAGAAAGAAGTCATCAGGAGGGTGGGGTAGTAGCTCAGTGGTAGAGTGCATGCTTAGTGTGCACAAAGTCCTGGGTTCTGTCCCCAGTATCTCCTTTAAAAATTTTTTTTTAATTTTTAAAAATTAAAAAAATAAAATAAGGGAGGGAGGGTATAGCTCAGTGGTAGAGTGTGTGCTTAGCATGCACGAGGTCCTGGGTTCAATCCCTAGTACCTCCATTAAAAATAAATAAATAGATAAACCTAATTACCCCCCCAAAACAAAAACAAAACAAAACAAAAAATACAACTGTTAAAAAAAAAAAAAGAAATCGTCAGTCTATTCTTCCATTTAGCTTTCTGTCGCCAAGGACTGTTCACGTGGATTGCCAAAAAGGAATAGGACGAAGGAAAGCTGCCTGGTTGCATAAATGAAACTATGTGAAGATAAAATGAGTAAATAAAAATAATTTGCTTCTGGAGGAGGGTATAGCTCAGATGTAGAGTGCATGCTTAGCATGCACAGGGTCTTGGGTTCAATCCCCAGTACCTTCATTTAAACAAACAAACTAATTACCCCCCCAATTAATAAAAATAGTAATAAAAGATACTTTTTTTAAGAAAGTATCCAAAAATAATACAAATTTGCCTGTGGTGTGCCTTGTTAATACATGAATGGGTGCTGTTCATTTCCTTAAAATAAATTACTTTAAATGGTTTTGAGTTTTCCCTTGGATTGGTCTTAAACTCTTGACCTGAAGGGGCCACGTCTGCAGTAGAAAAGAGGTGGCCTTTGGAGCAGATGGATCTGGGTGCGAACCCAGTTCAGCCCCTTCCTAGTTACTTAACTCCTCTGAGCCTCAGTAACCTTGTCCACAAAATGGATCATAATACTTTGGGTTGTTGAGAGGACTTTAAATAATGTGTGTAAAGTATTTAGCATGAAGGTAAGCTTCAGGGTGGTTCATGGTAGATTTACTGGGTTCTGCTTCAACTGACCATTTACTGTGTCTTATAATTCACTTTAGAATGGACTATGTAATCGGAGGACAAATGTAATAAGCTTCAATTTATGCATTTCTCTGGAAGCCTATACTAAAAGCTCAGAGGATCTTTTCTTTCCATTCTGATAAAAAGCCAAGGTGTGGCTTAGAATTCATTATGAAACCAGAAAAAAATAACTCCACGTGACTTTGCACCAGAAATTTTTTTTAAATCCCTGTTTTGCACACTAGTAAGGCTTACTGTTGAGAAACTTTCTTCTAAAATTAATAGGCAGCAAAATGTTAATGCTCTGAAAGTTTATGGTTTCTTTTCCTCAGATACTCTGACTTCGTGGTTCATGAAATAGGAAAAGATGGACGAATCAGCCATTTGAATGACTTGTCTGTGCCAGTGGATGAAGAGGTAGGAGCAGTGCTCCAGCAAAAGTCACCTTCTGTTTAAAAATAGCATTTCCTAGAGATCGTAGAAATACAGAGTCGGCCTTGGATTCTGTGTGTGACTCACTGGGTGTTCTCATGATTATTTTAAAGGATCCTTCAGAAGATGTATTTACGGTTTTAACAGCTGAAGAAAAGTGCCGTTTAGAAGAGCTCCAGCTTTTTAAAAATAAGGAAACCAGTGTTGCCATTGAGGTAAGTAGTACAAAAACATATGAAAAGGTTTTTTGGGGGTTTTCATTGCTTTTTGGGGGGTGGATGTTGATAAATGTGTATTGGGAAAGTTACTTTCGTTAACAAAAGGATGGCCTTGCCCCATTTGATCTAAAGGAGTATTATACTCAATATGCTTTTATCAGTGGCAGATAACCAATATCCAGGTTAACTGTGGCCGAAAAAAAGAAAAAGTTGTGTTTTTGTTTAATAAAATTTTTATATGACCACAAATCAACAAGGAAGTCTGTTGTTTGAACTGCAGAACAACTGTTATATCACACAGTGTCTGCTGCAAAGGGCTGTCTGTCACAGCCTGACCATCAGATGTGTAATCCTGGTAGGGAGGTCCTGGTCCTGCCTCCAAAGACGTCCTGGTATCATGTGGGGCTCTGAGAGGGGTAGGAATCGGGGTAAGGAGGTGAAGCAGTGTTGCTCTGCTCATCATGAGTCTACTTCTGCTCTTCCAGGAAAAGAGGGCTACTAAATAGAACAGTAAATGCCTTTTTGAAAGCTTTTTGTTATGAAAATTTTATTCTTCCCGATTGTGCTGTCCAGTGGAATTAGGATGCGAGCCTTGTTTTTAATTTTAAATCTTAAAAAAAATTTAAAAATAAAAACAGGCAAATTTAATTTTGACAGTATGTTTTATGCACCCTAGTACATTCAAAACATTTCAATTTGTAGTCAGTATTTAAAAAATTACTAATGGAATGTTTTACATTTCTTCTTCAGCAGCCAGTGTTACTTCATACTGGTAGTACATCTCAATGCAGACTAGCCACATTTTAAGTGCTCAGTTGCCACATGTGGCTACCACGTGGGACAGAGCATTTCTGGGTGATACCTATGCAAAGTGTATTAGAAGATTTTAAGAATCTTGTAGCACAAGATTTTTAGAATTTTAAGTTTATGTTCAATTCATTTTATACCATATTTTAACAACTTAACTGGTTGTCTGAAATCTCCCCTTCCATCGCTCCCAAATAAAAAGAGTTTACTGTAACTTTGCAGAATTTATTATTTGCCTCCAACCCTCATCTCCTCTTCTCACCACCAAAATTTCTCAAAAGTATGTACCATTGCAGTTTTAGGGATCTTTAATTACTGAATTTACTCATAGACAAAATGTGCAGCAGTGCCAAGGAGAAAATTCTTAAGAATTGGTTTTGAGAGCAGTCCAGGAGGATGGTCCAGGTTTCCCTTGCCTATGCGATGCAGTGGTATATCTTAGCCCCACAATATGCATTTTCCTACAGAGATGGCAGGATTTACTATCATCTTAAAAATTATTGTTATGCCACCTACTGAAAGCTTTTACCTTATTAAAGGGTATTAACCACGGGCGAGTGTCCTTGTCTGTAGAATGAGGAGGATGGGCTTTGTGAATTTTTGAGGTCTAAATATGTATTCACTCTTAACACACAAACTATGATTACAACTCAGTGCTTTCAGTGAATTCTAGATGTAGACTTACATGAAAATGTCACTAGTCTATAATTATAATGTGGTTTTCTTTTGCATTTTGCTAAAATACTGTTAGGTTTAGCTAGTGGTAGTTATAGCATATCTCGGTGTTTCTTACCTTGCAGGTTGCAGTCCATTTAGTGGGTCATGAAATCACTTTAGTGGATCTTAACCAGCATCTTTTTTTAAAATGCAATAAAATAGAAAATAACAGGGCATTGCACCTAGGTAGGATGAGTACTGTTCAGTGCATTTTTTTTTTTTTAGATTTTTTAATAAGGCATCTGCAGATACCTATTGCTGGCTGCTGAATCCAGATGTGAAATGTATTTCTCAGTGTAAGACACATTCAGAGATTGAGAAACAGTTGTATAACTAATAAGTTAGCTTTCTTAATACAGATCTTTGTTTTTTGTGAGCACATGTACGAGAATGTCATTATAAAGTAATCTAGTATAGAGCAGGACTCACTAGAGGCAGTTGTAGATCAGACTGTTGGGAGAGTAGTTTCTGACATCCCCAAAGGCTCAGCTCACCTCCTCTTCCACCCTTGAGCCCCAAGGTGTTCATGGTTCAGCCGAGTCCCTGAGAGGGAGCGTCTGTGATGGGCAGCTCTGGAGTCAGACAGCCTGGATTTCAGATCTGGCTCTGCCACCCTTCAGCTGTGCAACCTTAGACGCATCCCTTGACTTCTCTTAGCCTCACTTCTTCGTCTCTAAGTAGGTACACTAGTGGCATGAGAGGGAGCTGATGGGGATTAGATAGGACAGTGCCTGTGAGGTGACTGGGCGAGCTCAGTAATCGAGCTCTTAGGATCAGCAGTTCTGTGAAGCTGTGAAAGATTCCTTCCCTGTACTTCCGTTACTTCGCATCGTTAATAAGATGAGCGGTGTTTTCACTAACTTGCTAGTATTATTTCCTTATTTAATATTTGTTAAGTTAGCAGCATCATTATCTGTGTTTTCAATAGGTTATTGAGGACACCAAAGAGAAAAGAACCATCATCCATCAAGCGATTAAATCCCTGTTTCCAGGATTAGAGACAAAAACAGAAGATAGAGAGGGGAAGAAATACATCGTAGCCTATCATGCTGCGGGAAAAAAGGCTCTGGCAAGTAAGTGTGCAGGTGACCCAGTGTTTCTTCTGTCTCCTCGTTCTCCCTGCCTGTCCACGTTCAGGCATCATTTTGCTGTTGTTCAGAGAAGGACATCGATCATGTCATTCCTTCCAAGAAGGTGAATAATAATACCATTTCAGATGTCAGAGCACTCCTGCAGACTGTGCGTCTGGTAAGGGGGCTGTAGGTTTTATACGTGAGTACGGATTTGCTGAAATTGTGGTGGTGCCTGGGAGAGAGTCTTAGGAATTTGGTATGTTCCCTAAAGAGCGGAGCAGGCTGAGTGGCAATTCAAGAAGGAAACGGAAGGATATTCCTCATTCTGTGCTTGTAATGGAGGTAAGAAAGCTTTCAGGTAAAGAAAGAAAGGCTTGTCACCAATCCCAGTGGCACATTCTGCTAAGTCCCTCTATTGAAAGAGCTGCTGCTTTCCGACCGTGAGTATCTTCTTCACGTTAAAAACCTGGAATACATAGAAAACCGCCCCATGCCCGAGCCCATCTTTCGTTGTATAGCATTCATTTGAAATGGATGTGTTGTCAGTGAATCTTGTTGATGTTTATATTCTCATATGTTTTCTACAGCCATGAAAATTTCTATTTGCATATGACCTTAAGAGAAATTGGATAATTTTTTTCACCTGTCAAATCAGCAGATAAAATTTTAATGAAAATTTACAGAAGGAAAAATTAATTCCTCACTCTCCTCCCCTACCATTGATGGCCCCTGTTAGTGATGAGTTATTTCTAGAGACATGTGTTAGAGCAACACTCCAAGACTATTATATAACAGAAGACTGTTCAGCCCATCAGTGCTTTGTCAGTGTTCTCTTCAGTTAATGCTGTGAGTGGACTTGGCCTTAATTGTCTGTAAGTACAGTTCTAGTGAAAGAAGAGGGTATAAGAAAAATGGGAGTAGAAAAAAGGTTTAGCTGTGCCTGAGAGAATAATGTAGGCAAATCAGTGTCTGGATAGTGACATAGAAGTGAGAAAGCTTGAGCAGCAGGAAGAATGTGGAGATTGGAGGTCACCAAAAAGAGCAGTGAGGTGATGTATCCTCAAATTACTGAGGTCGCGTGTTGTTAATCACTTCTCTGTCCTCAGTCTAATGGGGTTACTAGATGTTTCTTTGATATCTGAGTCACAGTATAAAATACTACCTTAACAGCCTTTCTGCACCCAGGGCTGTCCAAGAGAATTAAGTCCAGTGGGAAATTGTTTCAATGACTGTTGTCCCACGGGTAGCGTGTAGCTGTGGAGGGGAGCAGGTGACTGCCTGTGTACGGCAGGTGCCTTGGTGCCCTCAGTCTTAATTCTCTGGAGGAACCCAGGTGGTGAAGGGTTGCTGGGGCGATGTCTGTAAAGAGGCAGTTCTCGTTGGTTAACCACCCTTGCACAAAGACAAGAGGAAGAGGCAGGGTCTCCTTCTGCCGACTGTGGTCATGAAGAAGCAGATTTTTTTTGGACTGGTTGCTTCTTAGAAATAATCATTCTTCCTTAGAGGATGCCAGGTTTTGTGACAGACTCTGGTGGCCCTTATAGTTTTCCCCTCAAGTGAGTGGTGCCAGATCTCTCGAGCTGTCTTTACCCACATTTTCTGTGCTTACACCATACCCACCTTTCTTCTTTTTTCCGAATAAAAAATTTCCAAGTGAGGTGCTGAGCTCTGTGTGACATGAACCACCCCTCCCCATTTCCCTTCTGACATCTTCAGTAAAATAGGAATTTCTCACTGTAAAAAGAAACCTGGGGAGAGAGAATATAGCTCAAATGTATCCGAAAACACAGGCAAGGTGGATTCTAAATCATGATGGCCAAACACAAATTACCAACTTTTTTAACTCCAACGTCATTTTGTGTGATAATCCAGTCTGATAAACAGGGCACATTGATTTCCCTACCAAAGCATACGTAAGATATTTTTCTGAAAATACCATCTAATTATATAAACTGTGTAATCAGGTAAAGGAACTTATGTTTTGAGAGAGTTTGCATCCCAAAAAAGACTCCGGAGGAAGAGTGGAGAGATACAAAGTTAACTCTCCGGGAGAGACTGGCTTACAGAATCCACAGAAAGAGGGAATTCCAGTGATTTAGAGTGGTTTGCAGTGAAAAGTATTACAGACAAGAACTCTGAAACATGTCCACCAGTTTTAGCAATATGGAGATCATTGACGTCTTTGCCAGAGCAGTTGTAGTGGAATGATTGGAAACCAGTTTACACAGGAGGTTGAGATGGAAGGCAATAAATATGCTGTAAAGAGAAGGAGAAAGGAAAGGAACGTAGTTAAGGAGAGGGAGACGTAGGTTTGATTTTTAAAATGCAATAGCCCTGAGCATGTTGGTAAACTGAAGGGAAAGAGCCAGTGGCGAGGGAGGGCGAGCATCCCGGCTGGGAGCTGATGTGACTGGAGCAGGATCCCTGAGGGCGCTGCAAGGCTGGTGTGTGAGGGTGCAGCAGCGGAGCTGGCCTTGAATAAGAAGGAAAGAATGTTCTGCATGCACCCCCATCCTGTCATCTTTCTCAAGCTACAAACATTTTTCCTTCTTTATTCATGGGGATCTCCGTGTGCAGTACATGACTCTTGACCGTGGTTTTCGTCTTTTATATGGTTTCTGTTTCCCGTCTCCTGGGGCTGACATACCAGACCTTCAGGTTGCTGCCTGTTATCCTGGCCTGAGAGTTCTTTGCATTCGCATTTTAAATCAGAGTGTGTCAAAAATGTCTAAAAGCTGTTTTAAATTCACTTAAACCGCAAAGCTGCCGTATGTATTACTTAACTTCCAAGGATCTGTACTTTTATAAAGTCAAACAAATTGCCCCAGATACATTGAGACTCACTGGTTTTCCGTTATTCAAAATATTCCCAGTCAATCAATGTATATGCTTGTTACTATTTCGTATACTGAGTGCACTTGGAAGAAGAATCCTTGTATCTGTTATTTGCAGAGGAAATAATTGAATGCATGCTCAGTGCTTGGATTTGCTAATAAAAGATGCATGCCTGTGAGCCAAACTCATGTCGGTTGTCATGGTTTCTCTTAAGGTATAATAGCATTTAGTTTTTTAGTCTCGTGGTTTCATTTATTTCTTGCCATATAGTTAATTGCGAGTGTACTGAAGGGGTAGTTAGAGAAAAAGGTAACTACACTTCAACTTTATCACAAGCTTTTTTGTTTGTTTGTTTGTTTGTTTGTTTAGTTTTTATTCTGGGCGTTTTCACACACACAAAGAAGGGGACCCCTGCGTGTTTGTCAGCCATCTTTAAGATTATTAACATTCTATTGTTTTTTTAGTCTTTTCCTCCCACTTTCTTTTTTCCTGTTGGAGTGTTTTAAAGAAAATTCTACGTAGCACTTCATTTCACTCATAAATACTTCAGTGTGTATCTAACAGATAAGGACTAAAACCCTAAACCATTATCACTTCCCAACAAAATCAACAGTAATTTCTTAATATCTCATAGCCAGTGTGTGTTCAGTTTTCCCTGATTGTCTCAAAAATGTTTTTTGCGTACAAATGGCTTGTGCAGATAATGATGCAAAGAAAGTCAGAACATTGCATTTGATGGATAAGTCTTTTAAATCTCTTTTAATCTATATAGGTTTGAGAACTGTTTTCCATAATTTTTCAAATTTTTTTCAAACAAGAAATCAGTGCAAGAAACTCATAAAACACAGCATTAGAAGCACAAAGCAAAACAGTAATTACGTGCAGTCTCACCACCAAAAGATAATCCCAAATAGCATTTTGGTACACGTCCTCTCCTATTTAAGAAAACATCTCTGGATGAGAGGGCACATTGCATCCAATCTTACACCTTTTGCTCCATCCTCTGGGCACAGACAGTGCAGCTGTGAGGATGAGCGGACAGGCCATCGTGAGGGCATTGAGACAGGGAAGCCTGGGGCCTCGTAGGTGAGTTTTCTTCTTGTTCACTGTTTGCCTCTGCGACATTCCATTGTTAATGTCTAAATGGCTGTTACCCCACCGCATAACTGCCAGGTCCGGTAGAAATCCTCAGTGGAAACTTTCCATGCGGTCATTTGCATGTTCACTTCGAAAGCACTTTAATATTATCATAAATTAAATATTGCTCTCTTGTGCTCTTTATGCTGTGCATTTGGACAGAGGTCAGAACTGCAGCAGGTAAGAGCAGTTGGCGTTTCATGTAGAGAAAATGAAATGCCAATGATTTTTGGCACAAGTGCTGAGTATAGACAACTTGTAAGTGAGCTGGAAGGAAAACCAAAAATAATGTTTCTATTCACAATTTTCTGAGGATGAGTTATGGGTTTTCCAAGATAGCTTTTGGTCAGTTTGTTCTTTTTTTTTTTTTTAATTGAAATGTAGTTGATTTACAGTGTTAGTTTTAGGTGTCCAGCAATGTGATTCATTTATGCATATATGCATATGTCTAAAAAATTTTCTTTTCAGATTCTTTTACATTATATGTTATTACAGGAAATTGAGTATGTTTCCCTGTGCTGTGCAGTAGGAGTCAATTTGTTCTTTACATTGTAACTTAAACACTAAGCTATCAAGCAGAGCTTTTTGCCTTGACAAGGGCAGGTGTACAAGCAATTTGAGTACCAGAAGTTTCTCATGTCTCTGAAGATGAAGGATTCATGAGTTCATGCCAAAGGATTATTTTAGGGACAAAAACAAAGGAGCATTTTTAAAAGAAGACTCTTTTCTAGGGATTGTGTGAAATATTTTTTCACTGTTTTTCTTTGATAAACTTAAAGAAATCAAGTGAAGTAGATGCGTTCAAATAACAGCTGCAGCTGTGTGTCATGCAAGACTCATGAGCTTTGTTTATGTGTATGTTTTATTAAAGTGTAGTCAGTTCACAATGTTGTGTCAGTTTCTGGTGTGGACTCATGAACTTTGCTGTTCAGCCTTCTAGGAAGTGCAGTTGTGGCTTACATGTTTTCCCCGAAGTGCTGGTTTTTCAAAATACCCTTCGGAGAACTGAGGTCTAAATCTTGCAGGGAGGGTACAGCTCAAGTGTTAAAGCACATGCTTAGCATGCATGAGGTCCTGGGTTCAGTCCCCAGTGCCTCCTCTAAAAATAAATAAATAAACTTAATTACCTCTGCCGCCCCAAAATTTTAAAATAAATAAATCTTAATGTTGTTTAAATATATGTTTCTAGATTATAGTGTAATTTAAATGTTCATTTAAAAGAACAGTTTAAAAATTCAGATTCTCCCGAGTGTTGTTGACATGTCTGTCAGTTTCCAGAAAGCTCAGAAGTTAACATTGAACCTGGCTTAATTTTTGAAGTCTCCTTTGCCCCCAGGAGTGACAGTTAGGTCTTGAATGCCACCTGCCCTCTCTGTCGGGTAGACCTCTGTAAATGATCTAGTATCAGCTCAACTTTTGTGATGCAAGTGGCCTTTGGAAAATCTAAACGTGTCACTGAGGCAGCTCCTCACAAGCTTCATCCCCATCCTAATCTGTACGTGTGAACACCTGACTGGGGTACGAGGCAAGGCTTGGAGTTTGACGTGACTGCTGTTTCTCTCTGACCTGCATGTGCTCTAGAGAGCCAGTCGGCCCGCCTTCAGACACGAGCTTGTGAAGTAAGCTGCTGGGGAGTGCTGGACCCCTCTGTGTTTCTCTCTGTGAAGGTTGCTGGTTAGGCTTAGCCACTTGTCACACCACCTGCATTTCTCGCTGCTGATTTTAAATGCAGACAGATAAGTATCCAGTCACAGCTCAATGCCTGTAGTCCACGAAGCTGTAACCACTTAACCTGTATTTCTTGCCAGACTAGATCTGATTTCTCTCTCAAGGGTTCTCTAGCAAAACAGTGAGCTTGTAGGGTTTCATAAGAAAAAAACTCAGCTAACTTTTATTATGGTGTATATAACATTTAATTTTCTTTTTTTTTAAAGATCCAAGAAAACATTCTTGGCCAAAGTCTAGGGGAAGTTACTGCCACTTCGTACTGTACAAGGAAAACAAAGACACCATGGATGCTATTAATGTACTGTCCAAATATTTAAGGTTAGTGTCTTGTTCTTGTACCCATACAAAATCAAAGCAGAAATGTATTTTCCTCTTCTGGTGCTGAGGAGAGAGGAATGGGAAAATGGGCAAACAGGTAGCAAATGTGCCTCCTCCCCATCATAGTTTTCTTATGCAATAGGTGAGTTAATTTTTTTTTAACCTCCTTGCATATTGCCAGTGATTCAAGATGAAAATTCTGTAAGTAAACGGTTCGCATATAGTGGAGAGTTACCAGTCCATCCCCCTGAAAATAAAAATTAACTGTCTTCCCTGATAGCCTGCGCTTTGATGTGGTTGGGGAGGTTTGCCTGCTCTGCTGTTAGCTCTTAGCTCCTGGAGGTTGACTAGATGGGAAACCTGAGACCACTCAGATTTTCTCGGAGGAACGCAAACTTAGCAGAGATTGGGTCTCTGAGGATGGGTCAGAAGCCAGTTTACCTTTAGAAGTGGGTTGGGGCACCACAGCAAATCTGTACAGTGGAAATTTACTCTCTGACATATATTTAGCCCAGTTTAAACACAGTACATAGTGTGTTAGTGTGCTAAGGCTGTCGTAACAAAATACCGTAGACTGGGCAGCTTAACAGAAATTCATTTTCCCATTATCAGGAGGTTCGAAGCCCCAAGCTCAGGGTCTTGGCAGGGTTTTTTTCCCTAAGACCTCTCCTTGGCTTGATGATGGCCACTTCCTCTGAATCTTCCCATGGTCTTCTGTGTGTGTGTGTGTCTGTGTGTGTGTGTCTGTGTGTGTGTGTGTGTGTGTGTGCGTGCGCGCGCGCTCGCTTGTACCCCGGAGTCTCTCTGTCCAGATTTCCTCCTCTTATCAGACACCAGTTGAATTGGATGAGGACCCACCCTAATGGCCTCATTAACTTAATCAAGGTGCTGTCTCCAAATACAGTTGCATTCAGATGTACCGGGAGTCAGTAAAATACACAAATTATAAGAGAGCACAGTTCAGCCCATAGGACACAGTACCGTTTGAAGTAACATTTTATTTTACTCTAGTTGCTGGCTTTCTAGTCAGTGATGCCTTGTCCATACCTGAGCCCGGGAGAATAAACAGTTCCCGACAGGAGAGTAGACAGAGAGGGCGTTAGTTCCTCTGAGATCTGGAGCTGGGGATTGCTCAGGGTTCAAGAAATCATTCCTGTTTCTCTCCTGTTCATGTGGGGCAGTTTTTATAAAATTCTTAGTTAACTCGTTTACTTATCTCTTCATATTAAAACTATTCCTATCCCTGTTTCAGCATTTGACTTTTTTATAACTAAGAAATAGCATGTGTTTTTGGAAAATTCACTATTAACTTTTTAAAAACTGAAGATATAAAATTCTCAAAGTGGTACATGGTATATCAGAATGGATTTTTCCTTACCTTCACAGTTAAGTAATTAATGAATTGCATGTAATCGACAGGAAGTGTGTCACTCCCTTCTCTGCGGCTGGCTGGCACAGGCGTTCTGTCACCCACAGCTAAGAAGGGAGGTGTTCAGGTGTTACTTTCTTGGCTTGCACATTGTTTTCCTGGGTATATTTTTAAGTAAACTTTCTCCTTACTCTTCTCCAATTCTGTTATGATTTCAAGTGTATCTATTTTAAATTTTAAATTAGAGAAATATGAGTTCCTGATGCTATGCAACTTCAGCAGGTTTTGTTTTCTGTTTCATCAGAGTTAAGCCAAACATATTCTCCTACATGGGAACCAAGGATAAAAGGGCCATAACCGTTCAAGAGATTGCTGTTCTCAAGTAAGTAGAGTACCCACCAGGATTCCTTCTGCCAGGACCCTGGCACTGCCTTTCAGAGTTCTCAGGTTTGCTTTGTGGGGTTTACTTCTTCCATGGTTGGATCGTGCCTCTGCCTACTCAAAAAATCGTTTCTGTTTTTCTCTTTTTGCTTATCTGTATATCCTGATGTTTTTGCAGCAAACAGATATTATGTATGTAATTTTTAGAGGATTTTTGTGGTGAAGCCAAGAGCGTAAGTGATTTTTTCTTCTCTTTTCTCTCTCCTGTTCATTCATTATTAAGTATAAGTTATTTAAGTTTTAACTACAAAACAGTGAGCTATTCTGTGACACACTGGATACAGATGAAAAAGATGGTCTCTGTTTTGAAGCAATTATAATTTTTACCTTTTAAATTTTTTATTTAAGTATGGTCAATTACAATGTGTCAATTTCTGGTGTACAGCACAATGTCCTGGTCATACATACACATACATATATTCGTTTTCATATTTTTCCATTAAACATTATTACAAGATATTGAACATAGTTCCCTGTGCTATACAGAAGAAACTTTTTTTAACTTATTTTTATATATAGTGGCTAACATTTGTAAATCTCACACTCCCAAATTTATCCCTTCCCACCCCTTTCCTCTGGTAATCATAAGATTCTTTACTATGTCTGTGAGAAAGCAATTATAATGTAATGGAGCAGACAGATAAGTAAGTCAGAACTTACCACACAGTGAGGTAAATGCTAAGATAGAGATACATTGGGAGCATTAGGGCAGACCCGACAACAAAGCATGGCACTCATTGAGGGGCAGGCCAGGGAAGGCTTTCATAGAAAATGGGGTGTTTAAGCTTTAATCTAGATCAGGGCTTCTCCACCTCTTCACTGCTGACACTCTGGGCTGGATGATTCTGTTATAGGGGCTGTTCTGTGCACTGCAGGACTTTTGGCAGCAGTCCTGGTCTCTACCCTCTAGATGTCTGTAGGGTTATACCTACTGATGTCAGCGTCATGACGAACAAAAATATCTCTAGGCATTGCTTAATGTCGCTTGAAGGACAGAATAGCCCCTGGCTGAGAACCAGTGGTCTTGATTCTAGAAGGATGGATAGGAGTTTCCTGGGGCTGGGGGGGGCTAGGGTGGTTTGTTCCAAACCAAGAGAACAGCTTGTGAAAAGACTGGAAAGGATTTGAGGAGTATAAAATGTTTGCCCCTGACAGGTGCTTGAGTTTTGTGGGGGTTTAGCAGGAAATAAGGCTGGAGGGCGGGCCCTGTGGGTCATGTTGAGGATCTTGGACTTAACCTTAACCTGAACAGAGTGAGTGGTGTGTAGAGACAGGATTAGGCGTTTGGCGGGAGCACAGGGGAGAAGCGAGCTATTGCCGTCGTCTAGGGAGGAGGACGGGGTCAGGTCAGTGAAGGTCAGAGGGGCAGGAGGGAGTCAGACCAACTTGGGCTTCCGTCTTCATGCACCCCCAGAGTCAGGAGTGGTGGGAGGCAGAGACAGAGGGGCAGGAGGAAGCTCGGGGTGATGCTTCTGTCCACTATCCTAAGTGTGGGTATGGTTTCGCGGACTTAGCCGCGTTTTAAAACTTGTACATTCTGAATGTGTGCAGTTTACCATGTGGTAATTCGATCATTAAAATCACTTATGCTTGCTGTCCCCACTTAAAATGAACACATACATGTATTTGTAATTCCCCTGTCTTTTCATAAGGAAGTTGAGGTGACATCTCCTCTTCACCCCACAGCCCCCTCCCGTCCAGCTTCTTTCCCAGCCCTCTGCTGGTCCGTTTGAAATAAAGTCGGGATTGAGCTCCAGGTTACATCCTAACGGATTCTCCAGTCCTCTTCTTCGTTGGCCTCGGGGCAGCGCAGGGCGTCGTAGTAAAGGCAGAGTGAGAGCGTCTTCTCTCCGTGACGGGGCAGTAGCGTGTGCAGTTGTGGCTGTGTCTGAGCAGAGCAGGCCGAGACCCCTGGAGACGCGGGTGTCCCTTCTCCCTTGGACGCGTGGGGTGGGGAGTCACTGCCGAGGGTGAAGCGGGCGGGGGTGGGGAAGGGAACTTGAGAAGAGAGTGAAGATTTGAAACAGCCTCCGCGGGCAGTGGGCTGGTCAGCAGCTCCTGAGAATAGGGGCCGACGGTGGCTTGAGGGCTCAGGCTTTCCCGTACTCCAGACGTGTGCACCGAATGTTCTTTCTGGCGTCTGAAATATCTCTGTAGTCAACTCTTAGGCTGTCTGGCCGGCTCTGAATTTTTCAAGCTAAATTGAAAAATAGATTGGTTTGTTTTGTTTTCAACACAGAAGGAACTAGGTAGAAAATGAAAGTTCCACCACAGCTGTACTCCCTCAGAGACTGCCTTGTTCACTGCTTGGTATATTTTTTGTGGGGGCCTCTCTCTTTTTTTCCTTGTTAACTGAAATAATTACATAAAGTGTGTTCTTTTCTTAAAAACAGTAACTGTTGTACTTCTTTCCCTGTTAGTGCATAGCAAAAGATATTTAAATATAAGGATGTAGCTAAATTTATGAACTGTCCCATTTCTTGCTATTACAAGCAATTCCAGAATCAGATGTATTGGCTAAATCTTGGCACACATCTGTGATAACTTTGTTGAGATAAACTTAGCAGTGGAATTACTGACTTAAAGAGAATGTGAAATTCTAGGTTTTTTTTTTTTTAAATTTTACTTATTTTGGGGTGGGTGGGAGATCATCAGGTCTGTTTTTTTATTTACTAGGTTTTTTTTTTTAATAGCGGTACTGGGGATTGAATCCAGAACCTAGTGCTTACTGCGCACGCACTCTGCCACTTGAGCTGTACCCTCCCCCCTTTAGGTTTTTTGATAGCAGAGTTTAATTGCCCTGTAGAAAGGTGGTACCAATTTATCACCTTTATTCTTCTTCTCCAGAATCTTCCCTGACATGTTATGATTTTTTTAAAAAATTTGCTAATTTGAGGGTCAAAAATGGCATCTCATTATTCTAAACTGCATTATGTGATGTGAAATATTTGAAGAGTGAAGATACTTATTTCTCTTCTTAGTCAGCCACCAGGTGTCATACTTGATCACAGTGTGGCTCCGTCTTCATAGACCTTTGCTGCCTTGATCATCTTCCTGTTGACTTAGTAAGAAACCATGTTAGACACCTTAATGTTGGCCTTTGGAAAGCACATAGCACTTATCTCGCGGATGCAGGCTACACCCTTAGTTTGCTTAATGGCTACATGGAGCCGGGCAGATTGGCCTTTCCCGTGAGAACTGGTGGACAGGATAAACCCTCTTTGCCATGCAGCGATTTAATTATTACTGAATCGATCAGTCCTCAGGATAAGCAGCATTTCTTTTTAGCTTCATGTAACTCTCCAAAGTTGCCTTATAGTTTTAACAGGATCTCAAGCAGGAACAGCCTCATTCAGAATGATTTGTTTCTTTTCCTGCCTCTTCCTGCCAGTCTCCTTTCTGAGTCTGAGCCAGTATTTCCCTGGCTTTGTTAATAAAGGCTTTTTGTGCAATGTGCTGCTTAGGTTGGCTCCTGATGTTTAAAAGTAGGTTTTGGTATTCCCAAGTTACTCACAAAATTTGCTGTGGATTTATAACCAAAGCGCTTGATCCAGGATCATCAAAATTAAAACTGTGAACAGTGTTGTGAAGAGATTGTCAGCTTCTTTCCATCACTTGTCAGGGAGTACCCACACCAGCAAGGGCTGAGTGTAGCTCTTGCTTTCTGCTGTGCTAGTGGGATTCAGAAATATGTGTCTGCTGTTTATTCAAGAATAAATAGACCACAGAATATGATTCAGCCCTGAAAAGTAATGAAGTACCGATATGTACTGCAGCATGGATGAGTCTTAAAAGCTTTATGCTAGGTGGAAGCAGTCGAGACACAAAAGGTAACATATTATATGGTTATATTTGTATGAAATGTCCAATATAGGGACATCTCTGAAGATGGAAGGTACGTTACTGGTTCAACAGGTATAGGGTTTCTTCTGTGAATGATGGAAATGTTCTGGAATTAGAGTAGTGACAGTAGCACAACATTGTGAATGTACTAAAAACCACTGAATTGTACACTTGATAATGGTTAAAATGATAACTTTTATATTATGTTAATTTTATCTCAACTTAAGGAAAAAAAAGAACAGAGCTTGATCAGGCACTTTCCTGGCTGTTGGAAGCGGTCTCCATAATCTCTCCCCACAGCGGCCCAGTTTCCTATCTGATTCCTTCTTTCACCTCTTGACTCTTAAATACTCTGTTTCTACAGCAGTAGTTGCTGACCAAAGCAGAGTTCTGTCCTCCTGTTCCTCACTCTGTTCATCCTGATCGTCTGCTTCCTGGATTCTCTGGGATACCGTTTCTGGGTTAATTTATGACCTATGCATCTTCATTCCCCGTATAGCTGAAGTCAAGGACCTGGTGCTCTTTTTCTCTTGGACCTAGTGCCTCTGAGCAGCTGGCCCACGCTGGTGTAGACCCAGTTTATGCCTTTTTGGTCCTCTGGTGGGGCCAGGAGAGAGGGTAATGGAGTATGAGCTTTGTCAACTTCTCTGGCTAGCTTCCTATATTTTATAATAATTAGTGGGACAATGACAGATCTTTTTTCCTCAAGGAATTGGTCAGGCAGCTTCTACACATTCTGAACCAGGAAACAAATAGACTGATAATGCATCAAGGAATTGATTGTCTTCAGGAAGTATGGGGAAATTTTCAGCAAAGAAACAAGAACTGTGTGAGATAAAGTGGCAAACTGGTATTATATAGGTGGATTTTAGACAATTTTATTCAAGAACAGCATATTTTTAAGTAGAGAGTAGGATAAATTCCCCTACTAATTATTCCTGTAACCTTGGGACTTGCAAGGCTATGGAGCAGGGGCACGTGCCTCTGTGGGGCTGCTCCTGTGATGAGCTACTTTAGGTCTAGACTCTAGGCACTTGGCAGAACAGCATCTCGTGTTGGCCGGAGATCCACATCCAGACCCTGCCGACCCCTGCGTTT